GGAGATAACAGAGTCCAGATGTAACCGGTGTCCAACTGTGATGCAGCCGAGTGTCAACCTCAACAATCTCCAAGTCTCCAATCAGGTAAGTACCAGTCTCGTATCACCGAAATCCAACCCTGATCTCTGTCCAACTGGATAGTCTCCAATCTGAAGAAGAAGAAGAAGAAGAAGAAGAAGAAGAAGAAGAAGGAGGTAGAGGAGAGAGAGAGAGAGGGGACTGGCGAGGGAGAGGAGGAGAGACCCTCCAAGCTCCCGGTACCTCAGGCGGCAATGGCCGCCGTGCTGGCTCAGTCGCCCTGCTGCTGCTCCGCTCTCTGCTGCGCTAAGCTGCGCTATGTTGCGCTCCTGCTTCAGCCCCTGCGCTAAGTTTAGCGCATCCAAATAGTACACTGGTACTGACCATGCCGTGCCGGTAGAGTTCCGGTAGGCCGATCCCTCAACTGAGGCGGGTACCGGTACTTATACCGGTAGGCAATGGTCTGGCCTCAATGCTGCGAGGCCAGGCCAGACCCTGGACCGTCCAGATGGATGGTTCAGCCTCAATCGGCGGGCGGCAGCTTCAAGAGCGCTGCCAGCCCCAAACGAAGTGTCGTTTGGGCCTACCCGATGGGTGCTGGTCCAAAATCAGGCCTTTAGGGCCTGTAACCCCAAAGGTCGGGCCTTTAGGCCCTGGTGTGTCCCTCCGGCCCTAAGTCGGGTCCGGTAGGACCCGTGTGAGTCGAAGATGTAACAGCCTGCCTCGGTTGCATTCGTAAGAGGCAGCCTGGGCCTGGGCGCTCTCAACCAACTGGCGCTGCGCAACTGCCTGAATTTACCCAGTTGCGCGATGACCCCAAAATAGGCCTGTAGGCCCTGGATCGAGCCTGCCTTCATTTAGGGCGGCCAACTGTACAGCAAATAGGGCCCAGTAAGGCAGATTGAGGCCTTGAGCCTCGCAACTTCAACTCGTGCCAGCCTCTGTTTCTTGGGTCCTGATTGGTTCTGGTAGCGCATCCCCACGGCCTGTTTGCTTCTGAATGTCAAGGCCTGGAACCTTCGCGAATTTCCATTGGACTGCGGCTGCTTGGGCCTTTGAGTCGTGACTTTTCACTTGTGAACACGACTTTTGACTGTGGACAGTGACTCCTGCCTCTGGGTCTCGACTCTTGCCTGTGGTACTACCCTTTAACTCGTCGGATGTGACTCTTCAATATGACTTTTCATTATGAGACGTGACTCTTGCCCCTCAGATGTGACTGTTTGCTGTGTGCCTGTTGGACAGGTCTGCTGAGGTACCCGACTGTGACTTTTCTGAATTTGACGAACTCGGCCTCTCTTGACCAGGGCCTCTGACACTGAGACCCGAATTTGGGGTCATAATCGTGGAAGGCCTTTCAAAATATGATTTTTCTACTTTATTTATTTCCTTTTATACTTTGTGAGAAAAGATTGAAGGCGGGTAACAAGAATCGAACTCGTATCTTTTCCCTGGCAAGGAAACATTTTACCACTGAACCATACCCGAACTCGTATCTTTTCCGTGGCAAGGAAACATTCTACCACTGAACCATACCCGCAAATCTATTGGAAATTTTGCATCCAGCTGAGTGAGGACGACGCCCGGCCGGGCTGGGCCCGGCTGGTTGGGCCCGGGGGGGCCGCCCGGGTAAGCCGGGTGGGACAAAAACTGCCCGACGATATATATATACAGGGTAACAGGCGTTTGGGACGGGCCAAACGCCTGAACCCGAACGCCCGAACGTATGGGACCCCTTGGGGATGCGTTCGGCCGTTCGGGCCGAACGCGGAACCCGAAAAAAAAAAGAAGAAAAAAAAGGTCATCAAAAAATTCTGAAAAAAAGATATGTTATGGAAAAAAAAAACTAAACAAGATTTGCCTGAGCATTACATCCGAATTCCTTACCAAATTTGAAATAAAAATAAAATACCGAGAAACAATACTAATAATAAAAATAAATAGAAATAAAAACTTAAAAAGAGAATTAAATTTAGTGAGTGCGCGAGCATGTTTTCGACACCACCATCTTTGGCGATTTTTCATATTTTTTTTTGGCAAAGCTAAATGCCCTGAAAATTTACAGATGCCATCTTTGGCAATTTTTTATTCTTATTTGGCTGATCCAAATAACTTGAAAATTTAAAGGCATGTACCTCACGTCATAGAGAACTCACAAAAGAAAATGCAGAAAAAAAAAATATTTTTAGGCCCCGAAATAATTTTTGGCGGGGGCCGAACGCCGTCGGGTTCGGACCCCGTACGGGACCCCGAACGCCCGTACGTACGGAGGTCTGCCCGGGG